GAAGGCGTAGAGAGAGAGAGAGAGAGAGAGAGGGAGAGGGAGGGAGGGAATGTCTGGAGGAATGGAGGGAATTCGGCCCTTTATACTGACTGCAGTTCAGATAACCCAGGCTGGTCGTATAGCTTATTATTTCTATGGAAAGATGAAGATATTATTAATTTCTAGTAGTAATGGTGGTCAGCATGCTGGAGAAGGGAGTCCGTGAAACTGGTAATAGGTAGGCCTGTGTGCACTTACACAAGTTTTACAATGGCGTCCCGACAACGCTTCTGTGACATGTCGAAATAGCTTATCGACATGATAGACATGTTGGGACATCACCATCATGCTTTTCGGCTTAGCCGAGCTAGCCTGACGGGGAGTACGAGTAGAAGGGACACTGTCGCCCATGCAACACCGACGATAAATGTCAGGTGAAGCGCCTGCTCATACCCTTGGATAACTACAGGATGTCAGAACTAGTCAGCCCGGCAGCTGAGTTACAAGAAGTGGACGGAGTACAAGGGGCAAATGTAACGGTTTCAACGTACCTTCACCTTGATGCATCGGGTCCAGCAGATGTATTTCCGTAATAGACTGGCGAACCCGCTTGATGATGTCTTGTCTGTCGTTCCCGGTGACACTTTGCGTCAAGTAATAGATGAGAGCATTCTGCAGTGTCCAGCTACTTACCGAAACACCAAAGACCGATCCCAAATTACGGAAAAGGCTGAGAGTGGTGGTGGTGACGGCCTGCTCAGCCTGGGGGCTGACTGCAAGAGTCGACACCAGAGTGGCTGGCATAGCGAAGCCCTGGCCGAGACCTGATGGTAAGAGAAAGAGCATAGCAAGCCACCCGGGAGTATCTCTGTTCATGGAGCTAGTGACGGCACAGCCGATGATGAAAAAGACGAACCCTATTATGAGCATGGGTTTCAATCGTCCGCTCCAGGTGATAAAGAAGCCTGTGAACACGCTAGACGCCATGATAGCCAGCGAAGAAGCAAGGATTCTCAGTCCAGAGCTGGTTAGAGACTCCAGCTTGACCGCTTGGAAGAACAAGGGCATGTTGAACAGAATGGTGTTGATAACCATCGTTCCGAAGAAATTCGACAGGATCAGGTTTGCCTGAGGGAAGGTGGACAGCAAGGGCAACGGCATGACCGGTCGTTTGGCCCTCGCTTCGATCTTCAGGAATGGGATCAGACAGGCACAGAACACGAGAAGAGACACAATAATGACTGGGTGAGACCAAGGCAGGACGTTTCCTCCCAGGTTCAAAGTAAGCAATAATGAGGTGACTCCGGTGACAAGCAGGAACGAGCCCTTTATATCGAGGGTCTTGGCTGCTTGCGTGAGCGTCCAGCCTTCATTGCGAGCGAGTTCTGGCCCCAGGGAAGTCGGGACAACAAAATATGATATTATCAAGTAAACAAAGATGAAGGGCAGCTGAATGCCAAACGCAGCCCTCCATCCAAGAGTATCTGCTATATAGCCACCGCAGGCCACGCCCAATGAGGAGCCGATGCCATTACACAGGTTGATATATGATTGATACATGCCCCTGTACTCTATCCGGATGAGATCAGAGCTAATTATCATACCCGCCGAGACGACCCCTCCGGCACCCAACCCGCAAAAGGCACGAGCAGCAATGAAGCTGGTGATGCTTTGAGCAGTAGCACACCAGGCTGTTGTGATGAAGAAAACAGCAACTGCAAACAGGTAGACCGGCCGTCTGCCAAAGACATCAGAAATGCGGCCGAACACAGGTTGAAAGGCAGTCGATGTCAACAGGAAGACGGTAGAGAGCCATGCTGCAGAGTTCGCGGCGTTAAAATATGAGGTAATGGCAGGATGAATGGAGGCCATCAACGTAGAGTCAAACATGGCTATCAGCCAGGCGAACAAAATTCCGGAGAAGACGGCCCAGAATTCTCTTTGGGTCACGTTGATGAAGTGAGGATGTGCCTCTTTCTTTTGGCTGTCTGCTGCTGCTCCATGGTTGGTGCAGGGGGATCTGTTGTCTTCCGGAGTCATAACGGCCTGGAACGTGGGCTCGATTTCATCTGCACTGATAACCGACTGAACTCTGGCTATGTCGTAACCTGGGAATTCGTCACCTCCATCTGAACGAAGCAGAGGCGTCTCTTCGTCCACACTCTGAGCTGTTGCCGGAGCCATTTGCCTTTTTAGAAAGTCTAGGCCGCGTACGGAGTATCGATATATTGGCCGTGGCTTTCCGCAATCAAGTCAAATATCTTCGCGTTCACTGTCTTGTAACTCGATGTTCCTCTCCTCCAAAGTTTAGGCCAGACAATCCCAGCAAAGTCGACCTACCTGCTCCAGACCAGCAGCTTCCTTATATACCATGCTTGCAAGGGTTATTATGACCATAATAATAAAGCAGCCCTCGTAACACAGGACTGAAATCTCTAGCCCAAGTTGTGATGGAAATGCTGATTGCTCGCTGCCTGGTAGGATGTGGGACCTTAAAAAAAGGGAATCCCTGGCTGAGGCTGCAGGAAGCTCGAATCCGGGTGAGAAACGAGCCATCTTGACAGCGCCTCTCGTCTTGTTCCTCTTCCCTGAGACCAACCTGCTGAAGTTCCTGCAGTCACTATTAAGCCACTAACTGGTTCTTTTCTTTTGGAGGCGTCAGGTTAGAGTTGATATTTCAGCCTCCAGCCCCTGTTGATCGTGGGTATATCATGGTCGACATTGAGATAGTTAGTCTTGTGTACGACGAGCTCCACCAAAGCATTCTGGCCAGGACTGCTTCCTCTGTGTTACTCAATGAAGCAGTACTCTGTATACTCCGTAGATGCGTTGTCGTCGTCGTCGTCGTCGTCTTAGCAGCAGCAGCAGCAGCAGCAGCGATGAGGTTGAAGTTCTGGTGGAGTTGCGGTGGATCCTAGTTAACTAGTTAGTTAGCTGGCTCCAGTGGTGACTTTTGGTGACTTTTGTTACTTAAGCGCCCTCGTTATTCATCGCCGGCCGGGGATGACAAGGAAGGGCGCCATCGCCGGCTTCAACGCTCGTCTTTAACCGAACTAGCGACTGCGACTGTGACTGCGACTGCGAGAACCATCGCTGAGACAAGGAGACGCCCTCGACCACCGGCCAGACCGCCAGCTGAAGCACAAGACACGACACCATGAGACGCCCTATCCGCCTCGCCGTCCTCGAGTGCGACCACCCCCTGCCGCAGACCGCAGCAAAGTACGGCGGGCGCTTTGGAGGGGTCTTCAAGGCGCTGCTGGGACAGTCGGCAAAGACGCTGAACAGGCCTGACATCGTCGATCCAGAGGCCGGGCTGGACATCTCAGAGTACGATATCGTGGGGGGCGATGAATTCCCGGCTCTCGAGGACATCGACGCCGTCCTCATCTCCGGATCAAGTGCGTGTGCTACCTACCCTACCCCCTTTGCTCTGTTTTTCTTTTTTGCTCGGAACTAGTAGATTAACTAGTTATTGCGCCTGGCTAGAGTTCGATTCCTTTGATACGACGACGCCCTGGATAAACAGGCTGGTCGAGTTTACCAAGCAGGTGCTGGCCCAGGACCGCGTCAGGCTGATTGGAGTCTGCTTCGGCCATCAGATCATCGGGCGAGCGCTGGGAGCGAGAGTCGGCCGTAGCGCCAACGGCTGGGAGGCCTCGGTGCACGAACTGACCTTGACGGACCAGGGCAGAGAGGTCTTTGGCGTTGAGAAGCTGGTACGTCAAGAGTGTCTATCTACATGGCTGGTTTGCTTGAAGGAACAGTGGGCTGACTGACAAGATAGAACATCATGGAGATGCACCGTGATGTCGTGTATGAGCTTCCAGCCAACACCGTCGCGCTCGGCCATACGCCCAAGTGCTCCATCCAAGGAATGTACAATCCCCGCAGATTCATCTCCGTCCAAGGCCATCCCGAGTTTAACAGGGACATTGTCATGGAGATCATGCAAACCAGAAAGGCCAATTATCCTCCAGATGTCTTTGACGAAGCTATGAAGGTCATCGACAACAAGCAGGATGGCGTCGTCATCGGCGAGGCCTTCCTGAAGTTCTTGGCGGAGGAGTGATCGTCCTATATCAAAGTACGTCAATGTACGTGCCATCCACAGCCAGTAAATGAGTTACGAAACGTACATAATGTGTCTATGATAGAATATGCCAGAATGAATAGATCTAGATCATTTCTTTAAGCAAAATCCGCTAGAGTTATAAATATTAAGGTAGTGCGAGTAACGGGGAGCGGTATATTATATATATAGCTGGAGTCTCCATGACCAGCATTGATTCAACTGCCCTCTCTTTCTAGGAACCCCGGATCAGCCTCTATCCTCCTTTCAAACTTGGCCCACCAGTCTCTAAAACTCTTCAAGGGCACAACCTCTTCACCCTGAGCCCGAGGATCCGAAGCAGCAAAGCTCGCAAGGAAGTTGAAAGCATTCCCAATAATCCTCTGTGCCAACACCTTTGTCGTCATGCCCGTCTGTCCTGTCCTCTTTACTAGTTCCATGCCCGTCGATGGTTGCTGTAATGTAGCTAGTTTCTCCCGGATAACCTGCGTGGACTCAATTGCTATCCCTAGTGTGATTACAGCGTTCGGATCAACGGCCGCAGCCCCTTCATCCATCATCTCATTCTCTTGCTCTGCCTCTGTCATCGGTTTCTGCGAACCAGGCAGGTTGACCTTGAATATTGCTGAGGGTTTCTCGTTTGCTATTGCGCCCAGGAACCGGAATTCGGGCTGCTGTTGCTGTGGCTGGCCGTTTCCCGGCTGGTTTGGGAACTGTATGTATACTGCTGCTGCGACATCTGGGGGCAGAGTAACACCCGGTAGGAGGAAGACGACAATATGAGAAAACTTGGGGGCGGCGGGAAAGGTGAATGCAAAGTTTGTCGGCGGCGTGTTTGGGTCTGGCTGTATAGGTACAGCTTCGGTCAGGCATGGCCGTCCCGGCAGGACGACGGAGAACATCGCCATCTGTAGTTAACTAGTTATAGGAGTAGCTAGCTAATTCTGGATAGCTATACTACTCACGTCAAGGCGAGTGCAGGGTATAGAGGGTGTAACACAGCCCGCCGCAGCTCACCACCAGCTAGCTTCCTTCCTGTTCTCCGTCTGCATCGAAGGCCAAAGAAACTGAACGACCAAAAAACACACAAAAAGTGGAAGCGACTGGGATGTTTTCTGGCTAGTTAACTAAGTTGGTTATCGATAAGAGCGGGAAAAAAAGATGCACAATGAGATCACCAGTCACGTGACAGGGCGAGGGCGCCCGAGGTCGACGCTGAAAGAAAGGAAGAAAGAGACAGCGTTATTGACATCGACATCCTGAGGCTGAAGGCGCTGGCAGGATGGGGAAGAGTATTCTGGACCTCGTCAATGAGTGCGATGTGTGAGTCTAGCCAGCTGGACAAAAAGGAGGATAACCAGTTGCTAACGACGTTACTACAGATTTCCGTACTATCAGGATGACCCCGCGGCATACAAGAGATACAGAGAAAAGTACTATGAATTCAAGATCACAGGCTACGGGCAGACCTTTGGCCTCGTCCTCAATTCCATAGTGGACAAGTTCCCATGGCCAAAAGACAGCTGGAAGATTGACAGCGAGACAAAGTCAATAACTCTGCTTGCGCCAGAGGATGCTACAGAACAACAACGAAGCGCCCTCCTAGCGCAGACGTTGGAGATTGGAGCAAAGAGCGGGAAGATTGATGTTCTCAAGGGCTGGAGGAACGAGCTATACCCCATTTATGGCCCCAAGAAAGAACTGGTTGCCAGCGTGGAGCGGGCGGGCAGCAGTCTATTCGGTATCTTAAGCTATGGAGTCCATATGACCGTATACACCAAGGACGAGAAGAATGGTATCATGATATGGGTGCCCCGGCGAGCCAGGACGAAGCAGACTTACCCTGGTATGTTGGACAATACAGTTGGTGGCGGCATAGCTACAGGCGAACCGCCGTTTGAGAGCCTAGTACGTGAAGCCATGGAGGAAGCCTCGTTGCCTGAAGACATTGTTCGACAAGACGCCAAATCCTGTGGATGCATAACGTATACCTATGTTCGGGACGAGCGAGCCGGTGGGGAAACGGGATTGCTGCAGCCAGAATGCGAGTACGTTTACGACCTGCAGCTCGACCCCAGCGTCGTACCGAAGCCATGCGATTCCGAAGTGGAGGACTTCCGACTATGGAGTGTTGACGAAGTGAAGAAAGCAATGTCAGACGGCGAATTCAAGCCTAATTGTGCCCTTGTTCTCATAGATTTCTTTATCAGACATGGTTTCCTCACGCCGGAGAACGAAAAGGACTATCTAGAAATTATCGCCAGGATACATCGTCGTCACGAATTCCCGACGGTCTAGCCTGCGTGTATATAACAGGAGGCTTCTTCTGTGTTGTGCTTTTGCTTTCCTGACTCTGCTGTTTGGATCCTGTTCTTTTGTTTTCTTCTTTTTTCAGCCTTTTTTTTTGGCAGACAAGAGATATATCCAAAGACCGCATTTTCTTTTACAAAGGGACTGACCAGTTCGTCCCCCTTTTCTAACTCAGACGCCAGCGCTTAATGCAAACCAGACCAGAACCAAATCATCAAGTCCAAGCATTTCCATCCCCGTAGCTGTTTCCTTTGATAGTTATCTTGTGACTCCGCGAGCCCAAGTAAAACACACGACGGTTATTATGACGAGATCTGACAAATGGAGGCGGGTAAAAAATCTTTTCCATCCGGGTATATCTACTTCTTCATGAGAAGATAGACGTAGTCAATTTTAAGTGGGCTGAGCTTGTTGTATGGCCCATCAAGATATAGCAAAAGACCGCCGAAGGAGACGAAGACAGCCCTGGATACCCACCACGATTAGCAGCTGCAACCACTCAGTTACCCAGTCTAAGAAAACTCACATATTGCCCGCCGTGCTGCTCTCCTCAAATCTGTAAACCTTTCCATAGCAGACATAGTCGTAGTCATTTGCCAGAGTGTTCTCCCCCATGCCTACGTCTCTCCATACAGCCCTCTCACCGGTTGCTTCTTCCTTGCCATCCAGCGCCAATGTCGACGCCAGAGCCAGCGACAGCGACTCTCCGGGGGCGCATGGATAGATTTCCGTGTTCACATCGAGGGTGAAGGTGATCAGATGGTCTGTAGACGTACAACTGATGCGCGAGACACGGTCATATTTCTGAGCGTTGATCGAGGTGATGCTGAAGGTGTCTTCGAACAGGATCGGATCCGACATCTTGAAGTACGTTTGTCCCTCTTCTTTCAGGTCTCTCTGTCTTCCACGTCTTCTAGCAGCCTGCTAGCTAGCTATCTTGGTATCCAGCAGGTTTTAATGCGGCTCTCAGCGACTTTTCCCGGTCGTTTTCTTTCTCTTTTCGCTCGAAATATTCTTTGAAGACGAAGAAACAAAGTTGTTGCTGCTTTTAGATTTTCGTGTGGGGCCGCTTTTAAGAGTCCAAGTTACTTCTTTGGCTTTTGAGGTGAAGGTGAAAGAGAAACATCCAAGAGACGAGACGCTGAAGGGGAACATCATACAGGCCGATTAGAGATGTCATTCCGCAGGAGGAATATAGGACTCTCGTCTGGTGGTCCCCGCGACCCTTCTGCTAATGCGCAACAGCCGGCTCAGCAGGTCAAGCCAGCAGAATCTACTCCCGGACTGCGCCCCTCCCCCATCGACGGCCGCCAGACCACCTCCACCGGCACCCCTACGCTGGATAGCTTGCTGGCCGGCCATGCGGGCTTAGCTCTGGGAAGCTCGCTACTGATTGAGGAGAGTGGCACAACTGATTTCGCTGGAGCGTTGCTGAGATACTATGCCGCGGAGGGAGTTGTCCAGGAACATCGAGTTCACGTCGTGGGGTTTGACAGACAGTGGGCAGCAACCCTTCCTGGACTTATCGGAGCTGCAGAAGCGTCTGAGAGTAGCCCCAGCAGGAATAAAGAGGATAAAATGAAGATTGCCTGGAGGTATGAACGGTTGGGGGGCTTCGGGCTTGGGATTGCTGGCTCCAGAGGTATGGCCCTTTACTGTGAGAAAGGTGAAGACTGAAGACATAGGAGGAAAGTGATAGGCTAATTTCTCTATAGTACCAGCGGCGACTACCGAAACCGCTGGTGATGCCCAGCAGGCATCTCAGGGTAATACGCCAAACGTCTTTTGCCATACATTCGACCTCACAAAGCGTCTCACACACCCATCTATACAGACTATGAATTTCATACCACTCACCAAGCCGAACGCCAGTACGAATTCGCCCTATTCCTCTATAACCAAACAGCTGGCCGAAGCCATAGAAAGCTCCTCACCCAATACCATTCACAGGTTAATTGTACCGTCGCTGCTATCACCCGCTCTATACACAACCCACGCGAGCCAACCTGAACATGTTCTGCAATTCCTACACGGCATCCGAGCCCTTCTATCCACCTATTCAAGCCGACTAACGGCAATGATAACACTTCCAATATCACTCTATCCTCGATCCTCAGGGCTGGTCCGGTGGATGGAGCTGCTCTCTGATGGAGTGATCGAATTGGCCCCGTTCCCACATACTCTTGATCCAAGCTCATTGGCAAGCTCCGGGGCAGCAACTAGCCAAGAAGAGCCACCACAAGGGATGCTCAAGGTGCACCGTCTCCCGGTCCTGCACGAACGTGGTGGCGGCATGGACAAAAATGTAGGCGAGGACTGGGCATTCACGCTAAGCAGAAGGAAGTTTGCGATCAAACCCTTCTCATTGCCTCCTATAGACGGAGACAACGATGGTCAGCAACAGGACGCCTCTTCTGCACCTAAAAAGGAAGATCTGGAGTTCTAAGCCTTAAACAATACGGTGGCGCATCGCAGTCAACTCCGTTTATAACCCATTTGGTCGTGGTTATCCTGTTCGTATGTGGCAGGGTCACTCAGCATCTCGTCCAGTTCGATTTGCTCTGATAGGGCCGAGCTGCCACCGCCGCCCATTGTTCGTAGATAGTTACGATCAAATACTCCGTCCCGAGGATCCAATCTAAAATCGACATCCCGGGTTCCAAACGCTGCTCTTAGACAGAAGCGAATAG